AGGTGGGTGAGTCTCCACACTGACAGTGAGATCTCCTCCCGGCTTTTCTGCAGGACATCTGCGAGGACCCCCGCCTCTTTGTGGATGGCATCAGCTCCCACGACCTGCACCAGGGCCAGGTGGGCAACTGCTGGTTTGTGGCGGCCTGCTCATCCCTTGCCTCCCGCGAGTCGCTGTGGCAAAAGGTGAGGCCTGGGTGGGGAGGGGGTGCTGGGGAGCGTTAACGCATCTTGATCCCCTTGCCACCAGATGGGGGAGGTGCGGCCTGAACATACAGGTGAGATTTGATGACAGCCTATGCAGGGATAGGGTAGGGTGACACCAGGGCTGTTCAGAATTGGCAGAGCATCAGAATTGCCTTCCTCTCCCCTGCCAGCTCAGGAGCAGGTGCTGGGAATCTGTGTAGCTCCCAGTTCTGATGTATCCCCTCTAGACTACTGGGGGCCCGCAGTGTCCTTGGGGCCACTGGGTGGAGTACACACCTATGAAATGTGGAAGCTGCCAAAATCATGTGCAGTGTGGAGACACCACTAACTGGGGCTCAGGAGACCCCGGCCAGTACCTTCTTTGTGACTTGGCCAGTCCTTGTCCTTCCCTGGGCCTCACTCTTCTCACTTGTTCAGAGGGAGTGATCCAGACAATCCTGATCATGATTCATGGTTCCAAACAGCTGATGTCCTGGTCGCGGACCAAAGGTTTAGGTTGGAAAGAATGGGCTCTGGTCCTGACACTTTGTCCCCTTGTGGTGGCATTCGGCAGTGCAGTCGTTAAATCCAACAGAGCTCCCTCCTGGGGAGGCCAGGAGGCTGGGGTTGTGGTTTCTAAAGAATAATTGACAGGAACTGCACCCTGGGTTCCCAAGCCGGCAAATACAAGTCATTGCTCTTCCTGCTCTTTCTACAGGGGCTGGCAGCACAGCTTGGGAGCACTGGGCATCCGGGTCTTACAGGCCCAGGGGCAGGTCCCAGCCTCTCTGTTTTGTAGCTTCATATTAGCCTTAGGTTTCTCACCCACAGAGTCAGGCTATCAGGGTAGCTCCCTCTCGGGGAGCAGTGAGGGTGGAACGAGGTACTGTACTTACAGGGCCTCGCACAGTGCATTGCCAGGTGAGGGTGGTTGTGACGGCCAGTGTGGTGATAATTCAGATTCATGGAACACAGTGAGTCTTCTGTGCAAGTGGGGTGCAAAGAGCAGGTGAGTTTGTTCTCGTCCTCTGAGGTATCCCTCAGCCATCAGAGGGCGCTGTGCCTTCGGCTGAGGTTGGAACCGTAGTAGGTGCTGTGCTGTCTTGTCTTCTGAACAGGGATGTGACCTCTCAAAGCCACCCTTTAAATGGGCACCCCTGGGGCCTGGCCCTGATGGTCCTGTGCGATGCAGGGAGCTGTGTGCTGTAGGGCCCTCCGCAGAGGCCTACTGTGTCGACCATTGACATGGGTGGTTGTGGGGCATCTGAGCTGGGAGGACCTCGGAGAACCGTGCATAGAGTCATTTCACTCATGGGCCCCATGGCCAGGGAAGGTTGGGGCCTGGCACTGTTCTCTGGGTGTAGGGCTGTCCTCACTCTCCTGCCTCCAGGCTCTAACCCCCTTCTTTGAGCCCAGAACAAGGTGACCCTGAGCTAGATCGGCTCAGTCTGGGGCTGGAGGTGGCACACAGGAGCCCTGTGGGGCTGGCCCCACACCTCCCACCTTGCCCTATAATTGCCTGTTTATCTGTGGGCTCCCCTCTTGAGGTGAGCTCCCCTTGGGCAGAGCTGGTTCAACTTCTATCTTCCCAGCAGGAGCCTGGCACAGAGAGGGCTCACGAAAGTTTTGAGGACAGAGCCCCTCCCCAAATTGTTGGACCCAGCTACTTGCCAGCAGCCCCACAGCTGGCCTGGCTGCCTCAGGCCTCCTGGGGCTTGCAGGGGGACTGGAGCCTGGCCCACTGTGTCCCCTCATAGGAAATGGGCTGTCTGGTAATTTGTAGGGAAGAGCCTCAGCTTGCTGTGTGCCCTGCCCTGGTCCCAGGCAGTCCCTTGGTGTAGCTCCCCACCTAGCAAGTGAAAGAAAGGGCCCTGGACCCGCAGGCAAGAGGCTTGTCATTGATGCCGTGACAGTGGGCAGGCTTGTGTTTGTCTCTGGGCAGAAGGTTCCTCCTGCACGGTGTCAGGGCACCAGCCTGGCTAGGCTGGAGGCTTTGAGGCCAGATCTCCAGGAGCTTGGGTCTCCAAGAGGTTGGGGCCGGGTGGCATGCTCTGGGGTAATTGTTCTCTGCCTTCTGGTGCTGCTGTGGTGATGGTCCCTGGGTCCCGGAAGGAGGCTCGAGGCCCTGGGGAGCTCATTACTGTGCCTTCCCTCCCCTCCTGTCCCTGCTGACCAGGCCCTGTTTGTTGTCATCCCTCACTTTCTGGGCCTGTTGCCCAGCAGGGCCTCCCCTGCCCAGCTCTATTTTCTCCATGGAATGGGGGTGCTCAGCCTGAGCTGCACCCCTACTCCCCCTGCCCACCTCACATTCTGGGGATGCAGGCGCATCACACCCTCGGCACACATGCCCCCTCCTCCAGGAAGCCATCCCTTTACCTCTAGTACTTGACACAGCCTAGGGTGGACAGGCCTGGGATTTGAAGGCAGCCAGACCTGCGTTTGATTCTGGCCGGGTTCCTTGCTGGTCGTGTGACCTTATGCAGGTCATGTTCCTTCTCCTGGCCTCTGTGTAAACCTGACCTTTGCAGTCCAGGGTGGTGGGAGGATTAAAGGAGCCCACAGGATTAGGGTGAGGGTAGGTAAGCCCGTGGCATTTAGGGGAGATCTGCACACCTTAATCCCACCTTCTTCTCCTCTGGGCTCCGACCTGTTTCTCTGTTCTGCCAGACACTTCTTGGCAGTGGGTCTCCCTATCCCATGGGATCCCTGGTTGTGGCATTATGGTCTCCTCAATGTGATCGTACATTTCCTGAGGGCAGGGCAGTGGATTTCAGGTGACCAGGTTTTGCGGACCAGAAGTCAGGATGTGACATTGGGGTAGAGCATTTGCCACTAGCTTGGCGTGGCTCAAGCCAGGTGAGTTCCCCTCCCCTGGAGGCCTGTGCAACCCCAGGCGCGAAGGCAGGCCTCTGTGCTCTGAGCCACGGGGTGCCGGAGCCCAGGAGGAGTCAGCTGTGCCCCTAGCCAGAGGGGAGCAGAAGTGAGCAGAAACCCAGTGGAGTGCCTGGGTGCCTGAGAGCCAGGGCTGGGAGCTGGGCAGTCCTGGGCTGGGCCTGGGGGAGGCACCTAGTGGCAGGGCCAGGCTGTCTTTTAGCCCATTTAAGAATGTTTCCCAACCCGTGCCTGCCCCTGCTATGTGAGCAGTTCCTGTCCTTTAGCGAATGCCAGTTCATTCACTACACAGTGGTTAAGCACCAACTGTGCCCCAGCACCATTCAAGGTACCGGGGACAGAGGGTTTGAAAAAGTCCTAAATCACGTAAAGTTTTCATTACCTGGAAACAACCAGTGTTAGGGTTTTCTATATTTCCTTCTAGTCTTTTTTCCATTTGTGGCTAAAGAGGCGCTTGTTTGTCATGATCACGGTTTCGCAGCCATGGACGCAAGCTTAGATGTTGCTTTGCTCCTCTCTGTTCACTCCTACGTCCAGCTTTTGGTAGGGCCTCCCGAGCCATCTGGGGCCTGAGTAGAGGTCTGTGGGTGGCGTGGGCCCAGCCCCACATGCAGCCTCCTGCCTGCCTTTCCTTCCCTCTTCCCCCTCTGGCTTCCTTGGCCACCACTGCCCCCTTCCTCCCGTCTACCCATCTGGGGGGCCCCAGGCCTGGTAACAACTCCCTCCTTCGGCCTCCTCCTGCCTTTGTTCAGGCCAAGACCTCCCCAGGGTCATGAGGCCTCTGGATCCTCATCCATAGAAGCTGAACCCCCCCACCATGTCCTGCAGGCCCAGGGAGGGGGCGGGTTTTCTCTTGATTCACTGCTGCCTCCAGACCACACCCTCCCCAGAGAAACCCCTGCTCGTGCTGGTTGTCCCCCAACCCCTGGCCCACCTTATTGCCGCCCCCCTGTCAGCCAGCCACCCTACCTGCCACCCAGGCACCAGGGGCTCGGCACCTCCAAGTTCCCAACCTTTTTCACCCCAAGTACTGCAGTGTCCCGGGGGTCATGGTGCCCTCATCACTGTGGCCCCGGGTCTTGATTGCATTGCCACCTGCCTTCACCGTCCAGGTATCGCCCTCCTTCCTGCACCCGACGCACACCTGTCCCTAAACCACATTCTGATCTCGATCAGGCCCGTGTACTCTCTCCGTGTGCCCATCTTCTTCTTCTTGTTCTTGGCCTTGGGCCCCACGGGCCGTCACATCAACTATTCTTTCGTCAATGTCATTCATTCATTCATTCATTCATTCATTCATCAGGGATTTCCGAGGGCCTCCTATATGGCAGCCCTGTTCTGGGTGGTGGCTTAGAGTGATGGACAAGTCAGACACTGTCCTGGCCCCTCCATGCGGAGACATCACAGACAAAAACCAGGCAAATGTACAAATAAAAAGGAGAATTTAGTGCTGGGAAAGGAGAGAAATGTCTCCCTATGAAGGAAAAAGAAGCTCCCCCAATAGTCACTCCTCAGCCTCTGCCGCTCCAGCTACAGAGCAGAAGGTTCTGTGAGGATCAGGCAGTTTAAGGTCTCTTCTCTATGGTTTTCTTGAACACTGTTGGAGAATGGCTGCCAGAGGCCCCCAGGACGGACCCCAGGGCTCGAGGTGTTGTCTTAGTAGGACCAGGTGCTTTGTTCCCCTCCATGACCCCCTTGCTGTTCACGTAGCCCAAGACCCCGCCGACTTACTTAGCCTCTGTCTAGCAATTGACTCTACTTGTGGTCCACTAGACCCTTCAGGTTATTTTCAGTTCTTATACTTTGGCCTGTGCTCTGTCCTGTTTTCTGTGTGTGACATGTCATGGCAGCTTCCCCTCTCCCCTACCACACCCTCAGCTACACTCACTTGCTCCATTTCTTCCATTTGCGCTCATGTCATGGCTGAGCCCCTGGTTCCCTCTCAGGCACTGGGGATACAGACATTTGTCAGATTCTTCCACCACTTCCAGTCTCTTGGGGGAAGAAGCTGAGGCTCAATACAGGTGTAATAAGTGGTGGGGTTTTAGCAGAAGAGACTCCCGGGCACATGGCAGCCACGTGGTGCGGAGTGGCAGCAGGCCTAGCAG